ATTTACATCAAATCTAATAATATAAAATTATAAATGGAATATACATAAAACAAAGATACGTAGACTTTAAGATATAGTGTAGATATTATGTAATTTAGTATATGGTATATATATAATGTACCAGTTTATAAAGCCAATAAAAAAAAAAAAAAAAAAAAAAAAACATCAAATTCAAGACTATTCAAATATATATATATATATATATATATATATATACTAGCTGACCCGGCAAGCGTTGTTTTGCTAAATAAGGTATATTCTAGACAATTTCTAGAGAATCAAAAATATTAATACTTTAAGTATATAAGGATGTGTTGTTTGAATGCTTCTTTCAAAAATTTGTTATCTAGACCTTTTTACCCTGTAGGCGGGGTAACTTGAAACGGGCAAGTGGCAAAAAGATTTAAAGCCTTATTATAGTTTTAAAGGTATTTTACAAAATAATTACATTTTAACTAATGCTTAAAAACTACCAACGGAAGAAAATACTTTTATTATGGATTCTCAAAGATTATCGTTTATTTCCCCCATTTCAAAGATTACCGTTTTCAAATCAAGCTTGTAGCTGGCTATAAATCTTTTTTCCTCTACTTTCAAATATTGTTGTTAAACAATGCTTAACTTTACTGATTTTTGACAAATCGGTGGTTGGCCTTTTTAACCCCGGACCTTCATATATTACTATCTATTCTGCGATAAATTCTGGGAAATTATAACTGGAAAAATGTTATTCGACAAAAGGTCTATTTGATCGATACCAAATTTAGATTCTGAATTTAAATAACATAAATAAGAAATAATATAACCTAGAAAATGTTTTATAAATACCAATGAGCATATAATTATACAAATAAGATCTTTCAGAGCACCGTGTTTGAGAAAAATATGCCAAAAATGCATTTTCATATTAACATATCAAAAAAGTTTATATTTTGAGTCTCTAGTAACACTTGGGGCCCGTTTACTAACGTTTTTGTATATAAATAAAACTACAAACAAAACTACTTACTACAAATTTATCACAAATAAATAATATTCGCGTAAAACATCTTATTAAACGTAATTGAACATCATCTGTCAAAAGCGTTTGACATTTCACGAAATTGCCACCGTCCATTGTTCTATTTAAATTACACTTCTAGAAAAATTTTCAAATTATAAATGTAAAGTTTCTACGCGGATTTGAAATAATTTCTTTCTTAGTCCTTTTGGACATTCTCTGGATTGGCACGAATTTTTCAAGACTAAGACTGGCCAAATCGATTCAGCCGTTTTCGAGTTTTATTCGGACATTTGAAAGAGATCTCCATTTTTATATATAAGATATATATATATATATATATATATATATATATATATATATATATGCGTGTGTGTGTAAATAATTAATAATAGTAATGAAAGTAACATTATTATAATTTATGGGTTCTGGATTAATTTTTGTTGTGTACCCACAAGCAATAGCAAAAATGCCAGCGTCTCAAATGTGGGCAGTGTTATTCTTCTTTATGCTTTTATGCCTTGGGCTTAATAGTTGGGTAAGACAATAAATCTAAAAAGCATAATAAATTAGTGCTTTATATATACATATATATATATATATATATATATATATGTGTGTGTATATATATATATATATAAAAATAAGTCGGGTTTTCTTTCCTGACGAAATAACTCCAGAACGCACGAACCGATTTCGACAATTTTTCATTCGTTGGAAAGGTCTCGGGCTCCGCAAGGTTTATAGCTAAGAAAATTAGTTGTGCATGACATCGTGCCTTAATTCAAGCTGCTGGAACTTCACTCACCGTAATTAAAAATTCGAGTAATGACATTAGTGAGAATTATAAGAATTATGCTTGGTTAAGTCAACGAGCAATTCTTGCCGCAAAGAATAATGATGTACACGCATTGAATTTCACCATTCAATCAAAAATTGCTGGCGATTTGGTGACATATCAATGATTCCGACTGGTCTTCCGTTTGACTCAAACGATTGCAATTTTCAGTTTGCCTTGCGTTCGCAATAACAAGTCGCAAGGCCAATCGCTTAGTGTTTGCGGGATAAATTTCAAATAGATTATTTAGAAAATCATTGTTTTTCACATGGGCAGTTATACGTTGCCTGTTCACGAGTTGGAAAACCATCCGCTCTGTTTGTGTTAACGTCAGACCAAAAAACAAAAAATGTGGTTTACCAAAGAGCACTTCAATGAAACGGATAATTTGCGGATTCACTTTCATTTACTTAGAGAAGTTCAACTAAAAACACTTCATTTTTGTAATCTATATAAATTCATTATACTGTTGTATAATAAAATCAAATTTTTCCTTTTCAAATATAAAACAAACGAAAAATTTCTTCATCTTTCTCACGAAACCATCTGTTGGCGAAACGGAGTTTATCGGATTTGCTAGTATATATATATATATATATATATATATATATATATATTTCAAAGTAACTAGCAGCCCATTCGTCGAAATAAAAAAGGTAATAAAGTATTAAACTTTTATTTATACGTTTCAACACCAGATGCGTGTCATCATTCATCAACTACAATGAATTTGAAAAAAAAATTTACTAATAATAAAAACCAATGTAAAATAATTATAAACATAGAGAAACATTATACATACCACCAGGACAAGAACACTAAAAAAATATTATTTTAAATAAATTAAACTTGTAACATATTAGAAAAGGACATTTTTTGGAAAAATAATGAATAACTGCAAAACTAAAAATATTTTGAAAGAAGTTTTAAAATTTAACATTATGACGCATGAAACACGCCCATATTAAGCAAACGACTCAACTGTAATGCTGAACTAGGCGTGTTAATAGTCTAGTGGATGGGGAATGTACGAAGGACAAATACAGACATAGTGATTGAAATGTTTGGAGTCAAAGAGGAAAATTCAAAACATATAAAAGTTTGAACAGACAAAACCAAAATTGTGATCAAATGAATTAATTTTTAGTTTTTTTTTATAAAATCAATAATTAGCTGGTAACTATCATGTAAAAGGTGGAATGAATTGCGTTTATTAAAACAAGAGGAATTTAATGAAATAAGAAAGGATTCTGCAAATTTTCTAAGGATACTATTTTTTCGATATGAAGAATAACACGATGTGAACTGTCAAAGTGTGATTGAGATTAAGCATATGATCTGAAAACATCGTTTTGAACTGGTTTGGATTTTTTGAATTATAAATATGTTGATTAACTCTCTTATAAATATACTGGGAACTTTCCCCAATACAACATTTATTGCAATCATTGCAATCCAACCTGTAAACAGAATCGGTGACCCTATCAGATGGGGCTCTAGACTTAAGAACCAAAAAAAGGCAATTAAAAGTATTATCGAAACTAAAATCTAAACGGAAACCTTCTGAAGAAAATAACATTTTTAAAAAATAAGAAAAATTGCTTAAAAAAGGTAAACAAATAATTCCTTTGTATTGGGTGGAAGAAGAAGCAATTAGGATTGAACAAGAAGGTGAAAATGAATTATTAAAATTAGTTTGTAAATAATTTAATCTATTATTAATAATGTTGTTGACGAGGTGTGAGGGGTAACTATTATCTTTGAGAACAGAACGAATAAGGGTCAATTTTTTTTCCCAAAACAAACTGTTGCTCAGTTAGACACATAATTTAAATATCTTCCTGACCAAGTTGGTTTCTGATACCAATCAGTCAGGACGGAATTGTTTATTTTATTTTTAGTGATTCTTAGGTCTAAAAAACTAATAGAATCATTCGACTGTCTCACAAGTGAACTGATACTACTGTAGAAAAACAAAAATAATTTAAGAAAGAACCAAAAAAGGAAAATGTAAAAATGTATATAACACATATTTATTTGTTCCTAACAAAGATCGCACAAGCACAGTCAGCCGTCGTGCGACACGGAGTGTTCTATTCCGACCAACACGTGATGACCAACACGTGATGGATTTACAGAAATTAATTATATTTTGACAGCTCTCTGAAAGTAAGCAAGAAGAACTACGTTTCTTTACACAATTTGAGTTTGAAAAGATAAAACAAGATTCGGAATATCTTCTAAGGCCCGCATTTTTTTCTTTATATAAAATTATAGGATGGTCAGTATTAAAAGAAAGTTTGAAATTAATAATGTGCTCAGAAAACATTGTTTTAAACTGTCTAGGAATTTTTGAATTATAAATATGCTGATTCATTCTCTTGCTGATGTATTGGGAACTTTCACCGATGTAACAACTGTCACAATCTAAATAATTAATTTTATATGCGGAATCGGTCAGAGGAAATGTTTGATTTTAAAGTAGAAAACAAGGAACTGAGTGTATTGTCAAAAGTAAAAACTAAAAGAAAACCTTCATCAGAAAAAAAGTTTTTTTAAAAAATAAGAAAAGCTACCCAAATAAGGTAAACTAATAATGGCTTTATATTTACTAAATAAAGAATAAGAAGAATTTGAATCAGCAGTAAATTATTTTTGGACAACGGATGTAATATTATTATTGCCAATAATGGCAATGTTTAAAAATTCTAACCTTATGAAAATAGTATGTGAGTTTTTTTAACAGTTTATTTATTCAAAATCCATACGTTTTTATCCTAATATAGCATATGAAACCATTACTAATTTATTGTATATTAAGAATAATGGTTCCATATGCTATATTAGGATAAAAAAAATTAATTTGTTCACCACTGAATGAAGGCTAAGGTGCTAGCCGAAACGTATGGATTTTAAATAAATAAACTTTTTAAAAAACTCTCATACTATTTTTATTGATGTTACGCCCGAGTTTTTAACTCAAATTAAACATATATATCAACATCAAATTCAAGACTATTCAAATATATATATATATATATATATATATATATATATATATATATATATATATATATATATATATATATACTCGTATATGCGCGTGTGTGTGTTAATAATAATTAATAATAGTAATGAAAGTAACAATATTATAATTTATAGGTCCTGGATTAATTTTTGTTGTGTACCCACAAGCAATAGCAAAAATGCCAGCGTCTCAAATGTGGGCAGTGTTATTCTTCTTCATGCTGTTATGCCTTGGGCTTAACAGTCAGGTAAGACAATAAATCTAAAAAGCATAATAAATTAGTACATTATATATATATATATATATATATATATATATATATATATATATATATATATATATATATATATATGGTTTGTTGTGGCAGAGGTCGTTAACGCGTTGACTTTGTATGGACAGGGCTCTGGCAATCTGACATCGGGCAGCGCTTTTAATCGGCTAGACTTTTAATTGAAGATATAGATCAAAATATGTTTGCAATTGCAATGGGAACTCTCTCACACTATTCTTCCCTGAATCGAGTTGGAGTTTTAACTCAGCTCACGGACCTGCCCTAGGGCATTACACCCATTATATATATATATATATATATATATATATATATATATATATATATATATATAAAAATAACAACTAACTACTAACATTGAAAAACAGCAAAAAACACATTTCTACAGTGATGAAGCAGCTGGTAGTTTTACGGAACATAGTCAAATAATTGTTTGTTTGATATGTGCTATTTGTTGTGATATAATTGGTTTGGTTATCACAATGTAATTTAAATTTTCTCAAGGTCCAATTGGACTTTTGTGCCCCACTTTAACATGAATATGTTAACTCTGGTCGTCTCTATTAATACACAATGTTCTCTTGATCACTTTATTTTACTCAATTACACCACGTTCACTATATACGTATTATATATATACTGTTTTACATATTACTCAACGCCTACTATATCACGCTGTCATTATCATAGTTAATATTCGGCTATCCTGATCAATTCTCGTCCTCGAGATTGTAGTTTTCAAATTTCTTGGGACGTGTGATTGTCCGTTTCTGTCTCCTCTTCTTCGTCACTGTTATTAGATTTGTCATCATTACTGTGGTCTTCTTGCATCTGGATGGGCACTTGGCTTTCTCCACACTGCATACGGGAATATGCATCTCCGGTTTGCAGTCCTTTGATGGTTTATCTCCTGCTGATTTGGATCGTTTGCAATCATCCTCTTTAGGTTTCTTGGGACAGTCAGCAGATTTGATGCGTTTCCTTCTACACTTTAGTTCACACTTTGGTTTTGGTGGTGGGCATTTTCGTTTTGGCGGTGGACACTTCGGCTTTTCCTCATTTCTCTGCGCTATGGTTAACCAGTCTTCTTCTATTAAATAGTTATTTGATACCATAAGTCCATCCGCACACTCTGTCTCTTCAGTTTCATTTATGGTGTTTCGGGATAGAGCATCCCACACATGTCTCATCTTCTCTGCTGGTCGATTTATCACCTCATAGTCAAATTCTTGTAGTTTCTTTTTAAGTATGTCCTCATTTAATTTTATTGTATCCATTGTTAGTTCTCTTACATCTGATTTTTCCTGGGTTTGTTCACTTTTATGGGTCTCGTCGCATTTTGTAATTTTGTAATTCTTTTCAACCGTTGTTTCATTATTTGATATATTTAGTACGGGTATGATGGTCTTTGTTAAAGCACTTGCCTCTAACGGAATTTTTATTTTCTCAGCCCTAACAATTTCATCCTTAAGCGCTAACTCTAATGCACCTATATCATCATTATCATCTACCTTCTCCATTTCCTCATAGCACACTCCTATTGGCTCTTTCTCTATTGGCGCAATACAATCATCGATCTCGCTTCCCAATACCATTTTGTATACCTCATGATTGGGCACTACACCAGACTTCACTCTCTCATCACGAACCATCGATATCATCATTGTCATCATTTCATCTTCTCGGCGTCTGCTTTCCAAATACATTTTGTATAATACTTGTAGCTCACTCATATTGTTTTTTGTTATTGAAATGTCACAAACATAATCTCACACTTTTTGATTCGTCTCTAAAATATCTTTATGTATATTCCTGGTATCCTTCAGTTATCCTCGAGTAATCCCACTTCTGAATTGTTAACTCTGGTCGTCTTTATTAATACACAATGTTCTCTTGATCACTTTATTTTACTCAATTACACCACGTTCACTATATACGTATTATATATATACTGTTTTACATGTTACTCCACGTCTACTATATCACGCTGTCATTATCATAGTTAATAAATATATAAATTAAATTAAATTTATTTCAGTTCATCAAATATTACTCAAAACTATTTATGAAGCAGGACAAAAAAAACTAATTAATTTTTTACCTCTTGTCGCAGAAATTTGAAAATATTGTAAAAACACAGTAGTATTATTTACAATTATACACAAAATCAAGAATTCAAAAAGAATTTGAAAAACTTCAATACTAATCCGAATTCTATTAGTTGGAATTTGTAATGACTACATAAGTCAAAAGACCAAAAAGACTTGGATTGGATTATACTGTTTTCCATAGAAAGTGTAAACATTGAAACAACATATCCTTACATACGTAAAATATTTTTTTATGCTATAAAAATAGTTTAGAAATACCTTAGTTAGAAAAACAACGTTTGCCGTGTTAGCTGGTTTATATATATATATATATATATATATATATATATATATATATATATATATATATGTATGATTCTGAATTTGATGTTGACATATGTATTAACAAAGTCTAGTAATCGGGCATAATATCAATAAAAACATGAATTTCGAAACCTTGAAACATGAAAACTTATAAACTCCGTAACCAGTAACAGACGAATATAACTTTTAAATAAAATGAACAATTCCACAGTACAAAACGATTTACCTGACTCAGGAACTCTTTCTGGTGTGATATGTTTGCCATACATTAAAGAATTGTATGTTCCTTGGAATAAACTTTATTTACTCCAACTTGTAAACAATTTTAGCACAACGAATAGTACTATTTTTACCAAAACAAAAACCCTTTTAATATCGAACAACTTAGAAATTTCGTGTATCAAATTAATTGTCTAGATTGTATTATAATTTAATTTACATAGGAGAAACAAGCCAGAACTTAATGAAACGCTCACAACAACATAAAAACAATTCAAAAAATCTAAGACAGTTTAAAACTACGATAGCAGAGCATATTTATACTTTAAAATACAATATGGACTTTTCTAACCCGACTGTACTACAACTCGAACAAAATTTATGCAAACGAAGAATTATAGAATGATCTTTTTCGACTATTTACAGCGATAAAACAATAAATAAACGGAATGAACGTAACACGCTGTGCGACACAAATCTCTTTTATTTAGATAATATTTCCAAATTTCTCACAAAACAATAAAAACGACGCGCAAAGGATTCGCTATTTGTTCCACACATGTGTAGAATCTTGGTAAAAATATTTTTTAAAAAAGTCCTTTCTCCATTACATCTTCAACCAGTCTACAAACAACACACTATCCAATTGTGATTTTTTAAATCAGTATTTCGTGAAAATATTGTGTTATTACAAGTTTAATGTTTATAATACATAGTGTAGTGCATTACCATATCCTGATACCATGGATTATTGAAATTTTCTAATTTAACACTAAGATTAATTAATTGTAAGTACTTTTACTATTTTATTTTTTCTTTTCACTCCAATTCAATTGTTTTAGTTTTTAATTTTATTTATAGTTTCCACTGAATGAAGGCTAGGATTATAGCCGAATGGATTTAAAGTAAATTTTTGAAAGAAATTCATGTTTTTATTGATGTTATGCCCGATTACTAGACTTTGTTAATATATATATATATATATATATATATATATATATATATATATATATATATAGTAGATGACCCGACAGACGTTGTCCTATACCCACTTCTACGTTTTGTCAATGCCCTATACTAATATTTATCATTCTGTTGAAAATATTAATTATTGTTTTTCGAATTACTATTTACACCAATATAAAAATTAATGAGACTATAAAAATTAATGATATCAAAATATGATGATGATTCTGAATTCCCACAGTTAACACTTTAATAATCCCTTTAACAGATATTAAAATATGTTCAATAAAATTGTATATTAAAAATTATACACTGCAAATTTATTTTCAATAGCTCTATTTATTTTATTGCCAAGGCTTATACAATTTTTTAGACATACCTGTAGATGTGGATGTATAAATAAATGATTTTTTGTATACTCGTATTCACGACTAAAACATTGATTTTCCAAATGTATCACACAAAATATGATTGTTTGCCTTTGTGATTTATAGTCATAGCATAAGAAACACGTGTTGAAAATTGAAGTCTTTTAAAAGATATAACAAATTCAGAAATAATCAATATATAGCATTTGCGGTAAAGGTATAATATTGCCTTGGATTTTTCTACCCAAAATAATTGCTTCAATCCTTCAGCCTATGATTTTTATCATTTCGCACCATATTTTAACTGGCTTTTAGTAATTTTAATATCTAAATTATATTTTTCTCACCAATGATTTAATATACATTATTACTTAAGTTTATATTTGAAGTGAATTAATTTGTCAAATCCTGTTCACATGTGCTCTATTCAACTTACGATCAAAAAAATTATTGCAGTAAATAGAAATGACAAAGCATGTGTCGGAAATAGGCTAATCTTCATCTTAAGTTCAGAAGTGAAAACAATTTACATTCCGTCAACACCCACCGCATTAATTGAATTATAACTCTTTTAATTCTGATTTTATCAGAACTTGAAATACACTATATTGAAAATAATTAAATGAGCCACAACTTTCTTTATCATAAATTTTACTGTAACTTCTCTTATTTTGAAACGGCAAAGGATTGAAGGACTCGAAAGACACTCTAGTTGGACAGCTGCGCACTCTTTAAACAATCAATATTTGTGTAACAGATCTTGATGTATCAACCAATTGGGAACGTATTTTGGAGCGTTCATGATTTTTTTCAAAATTTTATTTTGGAACCTTTGTAGAATAGTTATGTTCGATTTACTGGCCGCACCCCATAGTTGTAGGCCGTAGGACCATATTGGTTTGATAATTGTCTTGTATATTAGGAGTTTATTTTCTATTGTGACTTCTGATTTTCAGCCCATTAACCTACGTGTTAATTCAAGCTGCTGACG